GAGAGAGAGAGAGAGAGAGACCCGCTGATGCGCTCGCATAAGGAGGACTTTTTCTCCATGGGGAAAGTCTATCGGATCGCGATGGAAGCGCGCGATTTATGTCCCGAATCGCGCGAAGCAACCACATTGCGCGATGTGAAATTCACCGCCCCTATTTCTTATGGGAAAATCTTCCGCGCAAGACACTTTTTCACGCACCCTTAAACGCGCCTTTCTCGCCTTTTCTCGAGAGACTCACGTCTCGCTCGTGTCTATTCCACTTTGTCGATGTTTGCATTCTCACGTGTGTTTCTTCGATTTTCTTTAACCCTTTACGTTATAGTGAACTCGCTTTTTCAGATCGTGTTTTTAGATTTCACGCGTGAGATTTCGTTACACTTTTCGAGATTACCTGCCATAACGCACCACGTTTTTACTTAGTACCTATTGTGACCGCATGATGTCGAAATACTTACGCCACTTAAATATTTCAGTTACTTAAAGACAATCGTTGTAAAGTGTGAAAAGAATTGTACGGAAAAAAAATTTTTCAGCAAGCAAGAATATAATAATTTACATAACAAAAAAAACACATTCAACTCTCAAAATTGGTTTTAAAAAACTTTCAGCTTAGAATTATAGATTTTTAACAATATTTCCTATTTAAATGAATTTAATTTAATAATAAAATTATAAAATAATTTTATGAATGAGATTTTAAAATAAAGAATAAATTAACTTTAGAATAAGACAAAATGCTTTTTATCATATTAGAATTATTAATAGTAAATCGTCTCTTAAATTAAATTATAATTTAATTTGTTTCTAAAATATGTTTCTGGATTATCTTATTATCTTATTATCTGTTGAAGTACGTCCTTCTTTCTGTCTTCCTCTTTCTGTCTCTTTCTCTCTCTTTATTTCGATTATCATCTAAACATAAGTAATTCTCGAAGAGGCGATATCATCTTGCCGATTACACAAGCGAGGTCGCGCGACTTGCGGAATAATTTCCTATTGTGCTTTCAAGGCCGATCATGGCAAATTACCTTGGATATTTTTAAATGGATCGACATCATAATTCTGCCATGAAAATAATGCCCTCATTAATTAATAAATGAATTCTTCAAGTATTAAACGGTACTTAAACGACGGATCGCCTTCATAGTTTATTCATAATATTTATCTTGAAAGCAATCAATTGCTATAAGCAGATAATATATAGTATCAAAAGATAATTATACCCTTTAAAGGGGAAGAGCCGTATAACTGTTCTTTTCATAACACATTTGCGAAGCAAAGAGATACAAGATCTGAAAACTTTGATTTTTAGCAAAATAAATCTTAAACAACAACAATTAAAAATTAAGGTTGATTTTCAAGAGATAAATTCAATAAATATAAATATATATTGAATTCCAAAATGATTATAGATATCCTAACATAGAGATCCTAACATAGATTTTTTTTTTAACGGTTATAAAAAGAGATACAAGTTGGTTACATAAAAAATTATAATAATATAAACTTCCAGTTTTTTCATATCCATACTTTACTCTGTAATTTATTTAAACCTCTGTAATGTTAAACTTTCCGCTTTCCAGAAAGCAGAAAGTTATGTCTTAAGGCATGTTAATAAAATCACGATTCTTCCGCACACACTCCGCATGATCAGTAATCTGACATTAAAAGAAAAGGAAGAGAGAATCTTTCTCCGCGACGGAGCCTCCTGGAGGCGTTTCGTTAACTTCGTGCGAGGCTGACATCTTCGGAGTGAAAGCCTCCGGCTTATTATATTCCGATCCGAGACGCGCTCTCGAGAGAGAAAGAGAGAATCGCATTTCTCACGAGAGAAGCGGAACGTGTAATTCCACGTGTCTATGCGTGCGTGTGAACGGCTTAATTAACGACGAAATTCCGTGTCGACGACAAATATAATTTTTTTATTTTTTTTCAACAACCGCGACATGCGCAATAATTCTCAAAATTAGGTAGATTGCAAATATTAAAGCATCAACATGGCAGAGCCGGTCTTTCTTATTTGCAAAACTCTAAAATATCGAAACGATTGATCTTGAAGTTGCGTTTAACGATCGAACGAAGCAGAAGATAAGTCTTTTTTAATCATATCAATTTGTTTAGATACATTGAAATTTGCGATTTTGAATTTCCATTCGCTTTCCGATCGTTCCACATGAAGCTTTTTCTTTCCGATTCCCAGATGATGAATTATTTTCGCTCGTGTGACTCGGCGACTTTGTTTCACTCCGGATCTCCCGACAATAGGATATCTTTTCCTTTTCTCCGCGTGTTTTTTTTTCTCGGATTTTAATTACTTTCCCCTTTAATTTTTATCGCGATCAATTGCGCACAAGTACACGCACGCGAGCGTTGCGTTTTTTCACATACGATTAGCGTTCGTGTAAATTTGATGATATGGTATATTACAACTCGAGTGAAGCAATCATCTTTAATATCTCCTCTCTAAAATTTCATAAAATTTCCATATATGAATCAACAGATCTTCCAATTAATGCATTGAAAATGAATTAAGAGCGAAATGAACTAACTAATACTCGTCCTTTCTCACGGTATAATTCTTAATGAATTAATACAATATAAACTTGCATTGACATTATGATTAAATGGGACAACTTTCACAGTAAATGCATCTTTAAAAATGTTTCTTTAGCCAAATGTTTAAGCAATAATAAACGCTTTAAAAAATCCCACCTCCAAGTTCTGACATTTAAACATTTATGTTAATAACAGACATGTTCCGTCAAGAAATATCTTTTTTTATAAAAAGAAAGATGGAGAAAGAGAAAATGTTATATTTACACAATATCGCGATACTCCAATGCTGCGTAACAAAATAATTTTTAGTTCAAAATAAGTTATGCAATAATAAATGGTAATACAATTTAAAAAATGTATTACATTCACTGAGAGATAATAATAATAATAATAATAATAATGCAAAAAACTTTTTATATAAACGCAGTCTAGGAAAGAACATTTAGTTAGAATAATTGATTGGGAAACGAGTTAATTGTGCAATTAGAGTTGGATACAGTGGTAACTTAGAGAAAACGCAATGTTCAATGCTCGCTAAATCAATCACCGAGACTACTGTTGGAGAATCGGCAGCGATAATTAGGAAACCAGTTTTTACAGAGGAATCCTGATCGGGAAACGAATGGACGATGGAAGTGAAGAAAGGTTCCGCGAAAAATTCCGATCGACGGATCTTCCGCGATCGGAATAACGATGCCGCTGGCAACGCGAGTGAGTCCTCCGGCGCGGTTTCCTCGGGTCTGGGTCACTCGGTTACAAAACCTCGAAGCCGAAATAACGGTACTCGTACCCCACGGAGTTGCTTCAGATCGGGATTCGAACCGCTGTTGGAGCGGTGTGTATGTG